TTCCTCCTCTCGGAGCTCGCGCCTTGGCGAGCTGTTGTGCCGAACTGTTGCCTTTGCCACGTGTTGAGTGGTTACGAGGTCGGGCCAAATCTTCCTTCATCAGTACCCATACTTTTAAAACTTTCCAATCCATTAATTGCCATTAACCAGCTTGTTAACCAACCGTTAATTGGTATTTGAAAGTATATAAATGCCCTTCGAGTTTTATTTAATTTTCTTTATCAATCGTCCAAATATTGACAAAAAATGAACAWTTCCAAATCCTTGCCTCTTCTATTCAAGAAAGTTGGGTCACGTCTCAATGGACATTCTGGTGACCCCAACTTTCTTGAATAGAGAAGGTAAGGATTTTGGATTGTTCATTTTCTGTCAACGTTTGGATGATTGGCAAAGAAAATTAGATGACACTTGAAGGGCATTTATGTCTTTTCAAATGTCACTTATTGGTTGATTAACGGGTTGGTTAACTGTAGGTAATGGATTGACACATTTTTTTTTTTGAAATTTTGGGTATTGAATTATCGTGTTTTAAAATTTGAGACTAAAGTGGCAATAAGCCCAAAGTATAACTTGATTAGGAATTTTTTCTTATCAAAAACTCACCATCACTTTTTTGCATTTTTCTTACACTCACCATAACTTTTCAAAACCTCTAGAGAACTCTCTATCAATGAGTTTATTGTTTAAAATTACTCTTACACCACTAAATTACTTATATATATGGATTGTATTAAGCCTAGATCAGGTTTGAAGTATTAGGCCTAGGTAGGGGTGAGCATTCGTAATCAAACTAAAAAAAATAAAAATTGAACTGAGACTGAATTATAGAAAAACAAAAATTTTTGATTAAAACCAAATTTTAATAATATATACTCTAGTGTATATATATATATATATATATATATATATTATAACATATAATGTATATTATATATTATGTAATCAAATTTTATTTTATTATATATGTATTATATTATATCTTACATATAATAACAAAAAAATTTGATTAATTCAATTAACCGAATTTCTAATTCTAAAAATCAAAACCAAAAACCGAATTAATTGAACCAATTTAATAAAAAACAAAAAAAAATTAAATAAAAAATTTTGATTCAGTTTTTCGGTTTTAACCGAATAGTGATATAGGCCCGACTCTAAAATTTTCAGGGCCTGAAAAGGTAAAATTTTTTTTTAAAATAGAATTGGGTTCAGGCCCCAAATTACCCCAGCCCACCCTTGCCCACTGCCAGATTGTCTACAAGATAAGAAAGCATAGAAAAAGAGAAAAAAGGGCAGCGGTTGGGGAAGTGGCTTGTGTGGGGAGTAGGAAAGCCACGCTTTCCTTCCTACACAATCTTATTTTGCTCCTCTCCTCATCTCTAATTCTCTCTCCTCGTTTTCGGCTGGTCGCAGCAACTAGCAAGTAGATAGCGTGAGGAACAACGAGAGAAATGGCCCTTCAAGCATCTGCAAGACTTAAGACCGTCGCAGCCTCACCTTCATCTTCTCCCTTATCACCTTCTGCCCATGTCGGCTTACGACGACCATCCCATCGCTTTGCCCTCAAATCATCATTCTTCTCTCCCTCCCTTCACCTCTTGTTTTCTCCTCCTCAACAACCTCTCTCCTCTGCTGCTGCCCCAAGATTCTCTATGCGTGTTGCTTCAAAGCAAGCCTACATTTGTCGCGACTGCGGGTTCGGTCTCCTCTTCCTTTTCTGCATTTGCTCGTCTTCTTCCTTTTTTTTTTTTTTTTTTTTTTTTTTTTTTTTTTCTGTAAATGGTTTGATTTGATGAATTTTTCATTTGTCTTCGCTTCGCCCTGGGGTTGCGCTTGCGCAGGTATATCTACAACGATAGAACACCTTTTGAGAAGCTACCCGATAAGTATTTCTGCCCTGGTAAGTTTCAATTCTTCTTTTTCTGCTTTTATGTCTGCATCTTCTCAAAATGCTGCTGATTTTTCTTTTCTCTTGAATTTCATCATATTGCTTACTTCTGCCACTCTCCCTGTAGCCTATAGATCGAAGCAATTCTTCTCTCTTCTCTTCAATTTCTGTTGATGCACTTCCTTAGCTTTTCTCCCCCGAAAAAACTTGTTCAAACTAAATTTGCGGATTTGTTTAAATGTTTATGGATCCTCGATTTCCATGAAGTTAAAAATAAATTCTAGGAGCAGGGATTACAGCAGTATTGAAGCCCCAATTTGACAATTACTCTAAATTGTTATTGCAGTTTGCGGTGCTCCAAAGCGAAGATTCAGGACTTACGAGCCTGCGGTAACCAAGAATGCTAACGACACAGATGTCCGCAAGGCCCGGAAAGCACAGATCCAGAGTGACGAAGCAATTGGGTTAGTGTGGTTTCTCTACTTGTCTCTCTCTCTCTCTCTGCAGTTGATAGTAATCATATACATACACATTCTGCTTCTTACTTGATCGTTCCTCACTGTGCAGACGAGCTTTGCCTATTGCAATTGTGGTTGGGATTGCAGCTTTGGCTGGTTTATATTTTTACCTCAACAATGCCTTCTAGGTGCAACTCCAGCAGCATACCACAAAGAAAAGATGCATGACTTCACTTCCACCCCTCTGTCACTGTCATCTCCTCTTCCCTCTTATGTGATTAGTGCTTTGTTTGTTATCGTCTTCCATGTAGAATATCTATTGGAATTTCAAAATGTGCTGTTAATTTATCTCAATTTAATTTTGCGCAATGTGATGATGAGTGAACCATCAACTGTAGAAGAAATTGAAGATTCCATTTCATACCATACCGCTGTAGTCATGTACTCATGTAGAGTGAATGAAACACATCATAGACAAGTATGCCTCTAAATGCCTAAATCGTTGACAAGCAACCAATTGAAGGAAGATTTGCAGTCTATTAGCTTTCCACGAGTCTCTTTAACATGAGATGCAGGAGCATGGTTCAAAAGGTCGATAATTGTAAGTTTTTAGAGGGCATCTCTCTCTCTCTCTGTTCGGTCAGTATTTCATTGAACTTTGTGAGGGTGCAATTTAATTAAACCCATCATTCAACCAGGACTAGGAGGAACTCGAACCAGTTCAAGTGAAAATAAACCAGTCAACAAAATTGCTGAAAATAACGCAGAGAACTACCACCAGCAACAAAGCTTTCTCATCTGAATGGAAATGAAATCTAGGCTACCAACCCACAAAATGCTATCAAAATGGGATTTACAAGTGGCCATGCAACCCTCAACTTATGCTGAGGTTGCCCTTTGCAATATTACATCTTCGGATATGGAATGCTATCACATAGAAAGATGTGGGTAACTCACAAACATAATTGGAAAATTTAATAACAGGAGCTGAAATTTACATTGTGCATATATTTTTCTGTACGTAATCAATCCTGTAGGACAAATGAACCATCTATCCTTTTCTCTGTAGATAATGGCGGAGGGAAATTTAGAGGAGAAAACATTTCATTGAAACTTGAGCTAGGTGCAGGTTTGAACTCATATGGACCTTCCTTTACTCCCCAAGCCTGTTTAACAGTAACGAGGGGAAAAGCAATGAAACAAAACTATTGCCATTAATTATTCTACGAGAGACTTTTAAAAAGTATAATGCAGCTAAATCTTACTTGATTTCCGTCATCGTCATAACCTCTGTCCCAAGTGTGTACTTCGTTGTTCTTTAGGACTGCAAGTTCAGAAGTACAGTTCGTTGCATCATTCTGGAAAACAAAAATATCATTAGGCAAAGATGGATGAGATTATCAGAATCTCAGTTTCAAACTTTTTAGTTCAATTTCCAACTCCAATTTTATATTAGCTTTTGGTAGAAGACATGGACTTTCTCAAAAAACTGGGGGAGGGGGTATAAGAAACAAAGACAAGGAAATAGCAAAGACCCATGAATTAGGGAAGCCGCCTGGTGGGGTTGTTCCTTCATATAAGCACCGCTTTCCACGTTCACAACGCTTGAGATGAATAGTTGTTAAATGTTCTCCAATGTCCTACAGAATGCACCAAATAAAACTCATACAGAACTCTATCTCAAGGTAATTTCTAAAGAATGAAATAAGAAGGGGTTGGAATATTGCATAAGCTAAGCCACAAATTCTGATTTGAATTCTCACTTGCAATGTTACACGAGTTATAACAAAGTAAACATCTGATAATATGAATAAGGCCCTATGAGAACCAGAGTTCAATGCAAAAAAGCAGAGAATAACATAAAGGTGGGACACAAGCAGAACCTGGAGGAAGTACAAGACAAGTGCGATGGTCACCACACTTAACACACAAATAAGCACTATCAACTAAGCTGAATAGTTTCTTGAATGTTGGGCTTAATCTTTCCTTTAAAAGTAAATGAATAAAAGACAAATTACATGAAAGTTATCTGGTTCATTGATTCATTGTGTCTTAACCTTTCCATCTGGTTAAAATTTAACTTTCTTTCCAGTGAAATAAGAGGATATCAACTTAAATTTCATGACTAGATAACCGCCTTGTTTATTTATAAGCATGAGTTAAACCTGCCAGTGGGTCTCTGTAGATGCATCATGTGAACAGGAAAATTGTAAACTGTGCAAATGTGTTAATGGATAACAATTGGATAAAGAGGAAAAGATACCCAAGTAAATACACCCCACCCCCCAAAAAAGAGGAACAAGAGGGAAAATATGCCTGAAAAATCTTACTCCCAGTCATACCAATGATGAAATAGAAATTTAAGAATGACCTAAGCAATAAGAATCTTAAAATAGGAATTCGAGGAATTGTAGCCTAGGAAGGAATATAAACTATAATAATAGGACAAAAAATCTTAACATCTTTACTTTCCGGTAATAACATGTGGGAATCCTGAGTTCCTCACAATAAAAATTAAAAGAAAAAACTGCCAATGAAAATGAATGTCAGGTTGTTATATATGATCACACTGCTAAATAAAACAACAATACTAAAAGAAGACCCAAAGCATGGTGATATATTATTATATATATTAAATAACATCTACAAAATCAAAGACAGAAAAAATATGCCTGACATGGCAAATCAAGGTGGTTACAGTGCAAGTTTGTCAACAAAAATTTAAAACATTTTGCTAACATATCAAGACTTAATTTCTGCAACTCTTGATTCTTGAAGCAATGCATCAAATTTCACGGACCCAGAGACTCATTGGGTTGGTACAGAAGACAAATAAGTAATTGAAGAAAACAGCAGGCCTCCTAATCTCCTTAAACCTTAAACCTCAATCAGGGTAACCTTAAACCAATTGTCATCTAAATCCTTCAAGTATTGTGTTTTTTTTTTGATAAGCGTCAGAAATAAATTTCATTAATGAAAAGAGAAAACCGCCCATCTTGAAAAAGCGGTTGGGCCAAGTACAACACATCCTCTACATCCCAAAAAATACAGCAGATATAACCAAAGAAAAGATAGGAGGAAAACTTGTAAGTTACAACCTAGGGCTGGGCAACCTCAGTCCAAACAATCCTTCAAGTATTGTTAGTAGCACAGCAATTCAAGTGTCTAAGTGGCATTGGTTGACCTTCTATATGACCATGATAAATTGTCATTCAAGCTTTACCAATTGGAATACAACAGTTTATTAAAATTTGTTCCCATGTTAAAAAGATGTTATAGTCAACTTCAATTCCTGAAAGGTATCCTTCACAAATACAAGACAACTAACTTATAGAAATCAAGGGTTGAAGGTGATCACAATCTTACCCCAATAACTTCTTCTGGAAGTGGGCGCTGGTCTTTTGGACGATCACAAAAGTTTTTGTACTCCTCTGCATCTCTAATGGCATATGAACTTAGCTGTCCATGTAAAATAGGTTGGAAAAACTTAATGCCACTTGACTTTGTGAACAAGCTAATGTAAACTAACTTGACAAGAAGATTAGGAGAACTCTCACCCTTCTTCCAATATTATTAGATCTCCAAACATGGAAATTCACAAAAATGTGTAACAATTGCAAAAAGAACAAAGTAGTTTATTGATGATGACACCTAAAATTGGATTCCAAATTTTGAGCTCAAACTGACAAGAGGCGCAATGGAGAGTGGGTAGGTGGTTCCCACCCAAAGGCAAGCTAGCTGGGAGGTTACAATAGAAGAAAAAGCAGTGCAACCCTATAGAACTGTGTTTCTCTTGGAAGTAAACTATGAAACAGAATTGAATCCCACCTCTACATCACATTTCATCTCTTTTGGACAAGGTTTGACCATATAAAATCTCTGCAAGGTGTAACCAGGAAATTGTTAGAATTTTTCCTGTATAATGAAAGAGCAGAACTGGAAACAAGGAGTAGCATTCTGGTAACTACTGATCAAAAGCCAGTAATACCAGTAAAACTAAAGTGAGATAAGCATAAATCTTACTCTCCTACATTACAATTTATTTTTGTTTTTGAAGATAAAATAAAATTCATTAAAAAGAAAGAGGGTAGATTACATAAAAATTTATATACATTACAATTTATACTTAATGAGACATACAGAATGTATCTTTGGTTTCCCCTGCTGACAAAATTGCTATTAGAGAAAATAAAATATTTTTTTTAAATGGATGCAATATAAACATGCATGGGCACCCAAAGCTTCATGAACATACAAGTCAGGGGGATAGCTTAGATATAACTCAATTCAACTCTAAAACATCATATCCCAACTGTATGAGGTCAGCAACATACATCCTACTTTGTTGTTCTACTCCATCTGGGTCCTTATCCATGGTTGAATTTCAAGTCCTCAAATCATTTTCACTGCCTTAATTCTTATTAAGACCCTTCAATTTGCATCATATTACTTCTTAGCAGTGCTATGGTTAGTCTTAAGTCTACATGGCCAAACCATATTAATCTACTTTCCCTCATTTTATCACCTAGCAGGGATACAACACTTATTTCTAATCATAGACCTTCTAGTTTTGTTACTCGTCTATCTTATTAGCTCGGAGGAGATAATACACACACATATAATGTCCTATAGAATGAAAGAATGAAAGGATACAAAACATGTTTCATAGAATATGAGAATTTGTTTACCTGTCGGAAGGGCTTCTGAGGAGTTCTCCAAAATGCCTGCCATCAGAAGGAGATACCTCAAAATGTTATTCTTTCTAAAAGCATTGAAGTTATAAGTGGCAATGGATGGATAACAACTTATACTAACTTGTTCAAAATATAGGACCCTTGAACTATCCACTATCTCTGCTGCTGGGCATGTAAGCATTCTGCAGGGTAAAACTTAGGGTTATAAAAGATGGACCAATTTGGCTAAACGGGCAGAAATTTACTGTAGGAGATTCACCCCCAGAAACAACTGCTGGAGCTTCTTCAATCCCAAGATGTGTAATATCCAAATATGAAAACTATGTATTGATCTTCATCCTTTTAGTGTTGAATGCAATCAAGATTAGGTCACCATTAGCGGTACTATAACTAATAATTAAGAAATCTTAATTAAAAAAAACCAGCTGGCAGGTGGTCAAACCCACTGGCGTTGGTTTTCGTAAGTAGGGGGCTAGGAGCAGAGTTCACAAATAAAACTCTAATTTCAATAGCAGCAGTCCACCAGTTCTCATTCCAACAGAAAACTCAGACATGCCATTTTGCAAAGCAAAAATGAATCCAGAAGCAACAATCCAATAAAAACGAATGACACTAGTAATTCGGTTGAAGTTTCTAATAATTAATTCAGAAACTAAATGAAACGCCAAATCTATAATCCAATTAAGAGATATAAAATGGAACCGACGGTACCTCAAATTGAAGTAATTATCCGGGTCTCTAGAAGCTTGCTCCCGCGAGAACTACAAGTAGAAACCCCGGATAAGAAGTATAAGAATGAAGAGAAAAATTAAATTGCTGAAAAGTGAAAACAAACAAAAAAAGATAAAATAAGATGAAGCAAAATCTAGGTAAGGAGAGTTACCTTCTCACCGCTGAGGGATTCGGCGACAATTCGAGCATGATCCCATCTGGTGGTGGACTTGGTGAGTCTCTTAAGCAGAAACGCCCCTCCAATCAAAACCAGCGTTTTAATTACCAGACCCCGGGCTCGGCTCCAGCCGTTCGAATCGGAGTCCGTGCCCATGGTCATCGAAACCCACTAACAATACAAAATAGTGCAACACCAGCAAGACTGAGAGCAACTCGAAACGATCTTCATTCGAACATAATACAATCCTCTTTAATTTTCGCTTTCTCACTTGAGTAATGAAAGTGAGGGAGATAACCAAAAACTTGCGAGAATTCTAACAGAACATTTGGAGTCGGTATATAAGAAGAGGGGAAAAAGAAAAAGAAGAGAGGGTTTTCTATTTTATTGAGAGGTTTTGGTCAACAGAAAGGGGAGGGGGGAGAAAAAGAGATTTGGAAGAAAACTATGGTTGGTTGAGGTCCAACTCCATCTCCATTCGAGGTTTCTCCACCCTACTAGAGTGTCTTTCTTTCGATTTGGAACTTGGAAGACTTGTTGTCGTATCACCTATGGCTTCTAACTTCTCTCCTAATCGGAGGCTGCTGCTTCCGAGTCCGAGTTCCGACTTCCGTTCATTAATTCATCTGGGTTTATTGCTGCAGCCTGCGAGTTCGGATTAGCGTTATACGTGGCGTTTATCGGCAACATGCGCCGCGTAAGTCATACTGTTTTCCGCTTCTTCGTTCTCTCATAGTCTCCTAATTTCGTTTTTTTTCCTCGTTAGCCAAAAAAAATTTTTCTTTTTTTTTTCTCGTTTGTTATCGTCTTTCGCTTTCAGCTTTAGAATTTTTGTGGTCGAGACGAAAAGTGCGATTTTTTAATAATAATAATAATAATATTATTATTTTCTTTATGAGCTTTCCCTCGAAAATTCCAAACGCATAGTTTAAGAAATTTGCCCTTTCCCAACCCCATAATCCCCACTGGCAGCGGCACTCGCCAGCGGCATTTGATCCCATGTCTCCGCTACAAACAGCTAAAAAACCTACCAAAAAAAAAAAAGGCAATAACCCACACACATGAGATATGTTCACTTTGTTTCTTTCATTAAGGAGAGTGCAAATGGTCTACTCACTGAGCTGGTCATAAGAAATCTATCTTTCCACTTTTTGTTATACAATATTAATTAATTAGTTGAAGAGGCCATCTTTGATCTGAACCAACAAATTCAAGGAACTTGAAAATGGATTCAAAATACAGCCTACTCCCTGCACTTTATTTATCAAATGCACCACCACCTTTCTTCTGCATAAATCAACATTATCAAATGAAATTCATTCCCAATGTTGCATAATGCTGATGTGGGAAGCCACTACAACCCATTGGCAATTTGGCATTTGGCAAGCACCTACCTTTCTTTCCCAAACACCTCTCCACATTCTCCTTCAACTTTGAAAACACACACACATACAGTCATACAGACGTCTCTCGTCTTCCTGATAACAAGATCAAAGCTCTTCTACATAAATACTACAGCCCATGGGAGTAAAGGGTTTTAAGATGGCAACATGAAATTAATTACCAGAAGCCAGTCGCCAGAGTAAAACACACCTTTGCAAACTAAGCAAATGAAAAAAAAAAACACAAACGTTGGCAAATCATCCTAATTCTGAACATCCAAAATTATTCAACAGAAAGCCGTCGTCGCTTGTATCGCACCATCACCTTCCCCTTCACACCCACCACCATGGCATTCCAATCAATATCCGGAAAAGGTGACACCAACTCCAGCTCAAAATTCCTTAGCAAATGGCTCCAAATTGCCTTTATCTGCAGATACGCAAATGGCTCCCCAAGACAACCATGTCTACCACCACCAAACGAGATGTACGAGAATGCTCCAGCTACCTTGTCCTCTTCCCTCCCAGCTGCAAACCTGTCCGGGTCATACCTGTCTGGGTCCTTGTAGACGTGTGGCAGCCGGTTGGCAAAGGCTGGCGATGTAGCAACTATGTGACCTTTTGGGATGTCGTACTGTTTCCTTTCTCTGGTTGTCACGCTGAACTCAGAATGGGAGCTACGTAGCAGCATTATCAAAGGAGGATGGAGCCTCAGTGCTTCCTTGATGCACCGATAAAGCACGTCCATCTCAGACAGGATATCGTGATCAATGTTGTCACCGTGCTGTTTCATCAGGCTTTTTTGCTCATCCAACACGGCTGAGAGGTACTTTTGGTGAGTAAGCAGGTAGGCGCCAGTCCAGGTGGAAGTAATGGAGCTGGTGTGTTGTCCGGCGAATAGGGCAGCAATGAGCAGGCCAGTGATCTCTCCGTCGGTAGTTGGCCGGCCGTCTTTGTACTTTGAGTCGATGAAGCACTGCAGCATGTCATTCTCAGATTTGTCAGCACGTTTACGGGAAACTATAATGTTGGCAAAGATATCCGCCAGCTTCTTGCGGGCTTGGTCACGGCGACGGTGGGCTGGGATGGGGAGGTATGGGAAGATGACACTGATAGGTTGCATTCCATTATCAAGATCGTGAAAGAGAGAAGACACATCTGCAAATAATTGATCACGAACTTCCCTACCCAAAAGGCACCTGCTTGCTGTCAAGATGATTAAATGCTCAAGTTCGTACTTTAGGTCAACTTCACCACTCTCACCCCACTTTGAGAAGAAGTCCTGTGAAATTCCAGATTAAAGACAGGATCAGAACCAGGCTAATCTGAATATCTGAGATAAATAGAAGTTTTTGTAACGTAATTTGAACAGTACCCAGCAGAAAAAAATGAGTGGAGGAAGTATTATTTTATACATACATCAAACATTTAAGAATCAAATGTTAATTGGAAGTCGGTATTGGTAATAAAGTTATTGAAGAATGAAGAGTAATGGCGCCAATTACTTATTACCAACAGAAGGAAGGAAACCAAAAAGAATGAAGAGTAAAGCTAGCTCTCCTGCTTAAAGCCTTAAATATATGGAACATAAATGCGTGATTGAGACTTGAGAGGGAGGGAGAAAACGAAGAAAAACGCTTGATGCTTAGTCAATATTCAAAAAGGATTCCCAAATCCCAATTAGCTCGAACATCCAGAGAGACGGAGAGAAACAGCAAAACCCATCCATCTGCTTTGAAGCTAGCTAATTGATAAGCAGCCACTAGGTCTAAAAAGACAACAGAAGAGAAAAAAAGGATGGAAATTGGAGAGTGTTAGTTACCTCAGCTTCCACAACCATCTGATCCACATAGCCCTTCAATTTATTCACCCTTAGAGCCTCAGTGAAGAAGCGGAACTGCTCCTGCCGCACAGAATAGTCGACATCGAACACAACTCCGGGGCCAAAAGTTGGGACGTTAAACCGATAGACCTCTTGCTGGCTAAGATCAGATTCGGAGGCCTTGAAGAAATGGGCAGACACCTCAGGTCCAACGAAGAAAGTTATCTTCTTGTTCAATATATTGAGGGTGAATACACTACCGAGCTTGGGGTACTCTTCCCTAAGCATGACAACAGGGCCTTTGAGGAAGCGAATCAAGCCACCGAGCACCGGCCATGTTTTTATGGTAGGGGGGAGACGTTTTCTGGATTTAGGCATCAGAAACGCAGAGAGGAATTTCGCAACAACCATGGTTGCGACAATGAGGAGGCCGACACTCAGGAACTTGTTTTCCTTCAAATCCATCGCTGACATTTTGAAACCTGGAATACAAATTAAGGCATTTAGATATAAACAAGAAACAAAATTACTACTAATTCACATTCACACGATCGATCTAGAAATGGAAGCGATTGGAACTTTTTTCCTTTTGTTTTTTTGAAGAAAAGAAAGAAATAAAGGAGGATGGCTTTATTCAACTCCAAACCCTAGTACAGTTGTATAGGTAGAGGAGCAGCTCAGATCTAAAAGGCTTGTAGTTGCGAAAGCAGTAAAAGGAAGAAAAAGAAAAGCAGAAGACGAGATTCTTCTCGGGAAAAAGAGAGTCTTAATGCAATATAGCTATCGCACATAAGAAGATAGAAATTCTTTGGAGCCCTAGAAAAGATCAGTGAGGAGTAAATTGAAACCTGTACCTGTATCGCTAGTTAAAACCCTCCGAACAGGCAACAGCGATCGGGAATCGGGATCTCCAAATGGTCTCCCCTTTCTGCAAGAGACTGAGGGAGAGAGAGAGAACAGATAGAGAGTGAACAACTGAACACTACTCCTAAAAGTACTACTGGTCTACTACTACAACTTTTGCTTTGGAGAATGCACAAGATGTTTATCTATTTGTTAATGGGTGGGAAGGCGCTTTGTGTGATTGCGGGTGTTACTGTTGGATTTATTTAATATAATATAATATAATCAAGCGAAATGATTTTATACTGATAACTTATACAGTTATACCTTGGTTATAGTTATACAGTAATACACAATTTGGAATTGGGAGGGAGTAAGCGATACAAGGGATGTGGCCAAAACAGGAAATTCAATTGGGAATATAGTGTGTGGGGGATATTGTACAAATGAGATAATAATAATTGGTGGAAATTAAATGGTACTTAATTTCTTATATGGGTTATATTGTTTAAAACTCATCTTAACTTTTTAGCAATTTTTTTTTTAAGTTCTCTATAACTTTTTAAAAATATTCATGAAATTCATGTCCATAGATTAAGGACCTGTTCCTTTGCTATGAAGTCTAGAATCTGAAAGTGCAATAATTATATTAAGAGGTATATTAGTATTGGTTAATTTTTCTTTCCTCTGAATTTTTAATGCAGAGAATGTTGTTTTGAACTCTGAACTCTAAATTCTAAAAATTATCAAATATCTATTTTGACCCCATATATTAAAGTTTTTGTTTGCTTTTTAGGGGGTATCATTAGAAAACAAAAAGTTGTATGATTGCACTTTAAGAGATAAGAGGAAATGAACAATAATTTTTCTTTTAAAGTTAAAAGATTCCTCTTAAGAGATAAGAGTTAAGAGGAAACAAACAGGCCCTAAATGTGTTTGGTTTGGTTTGCTTTTTTTTTTTTCATTTAACATTTGTACTTTATTTGTTTGCAAAATCAAGAAAGGTAATAATTGAAACCATTTATGACAACTAAACACCACTAGACACCACATCAACATAACAATGAAAAAACACCTAACCATTTGAGGAAGCTTTAAAAATAATTTCCCTAAACAATAAGCATATACAAACCAAAGTCACTTTTTGCTATTCTTGATGCATACAAAAGAGCATGAGAGGGGAACTATTGAAGTGGCAAATATGTGGCAGCATTTATTGAATAAACACCCATGGTTCCAAACACCCTYTAAGTTAAACAGACTAACAAGTGTTAGTAGATTACCTGGTTGCCAGCCTTTGTGACAGAGGGCTCCAAGTAGCAATTAGCCAGAGAAGCCATCTTCATAGGATTAGATCTACACATCAACAACAAAGCATTTTTGGGGGAATGCAAATGCTCACTCTCCCCTCTTCTTCCTCGCTAGCTACCTCCCTCGCTTCTCCTTTTCTCTTCAATGTTGATCACATGGACCATCTTTACATTCTTTCTTTTCTCTTCTCTTCCTCACCCTCCTATAAGGCTAGCAACCATTGTGCAAAAATGGTCCCGCAAGAACTTGTAAGCTGGGGAAGTCCTTGCCTTTTCCCTTTTGTTAATCGATGTACACGAGGATCAACAAGGAAGGAAACAGTTGAACTTGGCCTTGAAAGCTCTTATAGCCTCGCAATTGACAAAAGGATATGAACCAATCTCTCATTTTTGTGCAGTAAGCACTCCTTTCTCTAGTGTTGCTTGGTTACATTGCCACTCCACCTTAGATATTGGCTGCTTCGTGGGCTTCTGCCAATGTGTGGTACAACAATATCCGCATTTGTTTCAACAATGTCTTAGCCATGCGCTAAAACAACTAAGGTGGTGTTTAGGATCGATGCCACTTCATAGGAGGCATTTTCTCAAAAATCAGTGTTGCATAAGCATGCTGTTTTCTTAGAAAATGTTTTATCAGGTTTTCTATTTAGTACCATTGTTATTGCTGCCACATTGGCATTTTTCAATGCTACATCAACCCACCACTGCTAGCAATAGTAGAAAAATAGAAAAACACCAAAAAGGGTATTTTTTCAAACCACCTTTCCTAGTTTCCAAGGCATGGTCTAAGAAAATGTCTTTTAAAAAAAACAACCAACCAAATAGCAAGCATTTTCTTAGAAAACGGATTTATGATGTAATGCTGATGTGGTATTGTTTTTTGAAGAAATGACATCAATCCCAAACACCTACTAAATCAAACCCCTTGATTTATTATCATGGCCACACCTTGAATTAGATGTAGTGATTTCTTGGTGGGGGCACTACATTATGATTTTCTGCTTTAACCTTGCCTACGACAATATCGTAGCAAAAGTAAACTTGATACAATAAAGGGTTAAGGGAATGGGGAAAGGGTAATTTCATCAACTCTTATTGCCACCCCCTCCTTATATATATAAACATGGAAGAAATATACAAGTACAATAGAGAGAGAGAGAGAGATTGGCTGTCCATGCCACATTCATATAATTGTGGTCACGTGATCCATTTAGGTCCACAAATCTCCATAAGATCTCATAAAAAGGATACCCGGAGCTATACATATCTGCTACCCACAAATTGTTTCCACCTCCCTACCCACAGACCAACCAACGCTATTGTGTATTTTTTATTTCCATATAAATGACAAGAGATATTCCCGATGTATAGATACAATGCTTTATTGATAGGGAACTAGGGATGTGGGAATAGCTTGTGGGTAGCAGATCCAACCCCACACCAAGTCCAGATCTTTTGCCCATAAGAACTCTACTCACGTCTACCCACACAACATCACAACCACACATGGGGAACATCTCATCCTTCCACATAGTATTATGCACGGGAAGTGGTTCCCAATGCACGGAGGTAGGGTGTTGTGGGTAGACGTGGGTATGTTTCACCTCAAATTATTTTTTAATAAAATCATTAATTTGGTCAAGAATTAGATGACCTTATTTATTGAATCATTGACTTATTTTACCAGATCAACAAGCTATGGATGAAACATTTCCATGATTAATAACAATAGTTTTCATTTGTTAGGATATTTTTTTTGTTTAATATAAGGAATATATAATATTGAAGACATGTTCAATTTTTTTTTAAATTTTATGATGTTTTCTATACTTTTATTTTTATTATTTAATTTATGACACCACAAGTTAATTACTTAATTTGTTTGGTTGAGAGCGAAATGTGGTTCAAATTGGTTTTTAAAACACTTGATTTTTAACAGCGTTTTTTTTATCCTATAGTTGAATAAACTGGTTGACCCATCACCTAATTAGGATTTTTGGTCCATTTACCATTAAATTGCTTGCATGTAGAAAACCATTATCGTGGAGATAATTGGACCATAGATCAATTCAATCCAATTAGTAGGGTCGTAAGATTATTTTTTTTCCTTAATTTTTGTATTCCATCTCTTCACTAAAATATAATTTTGCTTATCATTTTTTAATAAAATGAATTTATAGTTTTAGAAATGCTCCCATATTTTTCTACAAAATTTCTATGCTTCTTTTTGCAACTTATTGTATTTCTATCTATTTTTTTTAATTTTTATTATTTAGTTATGACATCATGAGTTCTCCCATTTGACCTATCGAACAATTGACCCACCACTTGGGATAGAAAAAACCATCTTGACTTAGGATCAACTTTAGATTTTGTATTCTATTTCCATTATTAGTATACCCATATCTTATTTTTTACACTTATTTTTTGTTTAATATGATTAATATATAATATTAGAAAAGTGTTCAAACATTTTCTACAAAATTTATTTACTTTTTTTTTGTATTTTTTGTTCTATTTTTCAAAATGTCTATTATTTAATTATGACAATATAGATTTACCCATTTAACTTGAATGGTTAAACTATTGACACACTACTAAGATAAGAAAATTGTTTATTTTTTGGGTTGGTTTTAATTTTTGTGTTTCATTTCCTTTATTAATAAAAATACTTCTTAATTATCATATTTATTTTTATTTAGTATGATAAATATATAATGTTAAAAATGTAACAAAGTTTTCATCTTAAAATTTTTAGTATTTAAATATAACTTCATGGATTGGCCTATTTTGACTCAAACGGTAGAACTTAAATATGAGATACCTTAAAAATAGGATTTAATGAGAAAGAATAGAATGAACTTAATAGTAGTATTCAAATCATAATTTTCACCCTTACAATAGAGAGAGACCAAATTCAAAGAGGGGTATTATTCATAATAAAGTCCAAAAGCCTCGAGGAGCTAATCACACTTCCATATTAATACATATATAAATGAAGGATATTAACTGATCTCATATAGAAGGGATAAGGCTTGGATGATGAAGATGATAGCTATAAATAAATTATATATACTCGAATTAACTGGATGTGATGACTGCTCAGCAGACTGTGGAACCAATGATAAGGACATAAGGAACCTTATCATGGCCCCACTATGAAAGGTATAGATCCTATGTATTTTATTACTATTATTATTGGTTCCACATCCAGCTGAACAGTCATTGCGTTTAACTAATCCTTGCTCCAAATAACAAAAGCAATTTCTACTGTGCTAGAAAGTTATGTACCTGAAAACCTTTAGTCAATCAGAAAACCCACGTGAATTTATATATAATCGAATACCAGTTGAATGATTAGCACTGATCAATTAATTGGTTATCGATCTTTTTACGTAACCATACCTTTTCGGTACCATTGGGGATTATTTTTTCAAAATAAAAATGGATTTAATTATGATACCAAAAAGATAATATTTAAAAAACGCGTGACCGTATCATAACTATTTTAACCAATCAATCAGATGGTATTTATCCATGTCTTTCAGTGCCATGTCTTTCAGCCATCATAGATTTTCCCAATAAAAATACAATTCAGGGAGATAGGTCGGTTTTCAGCACCCCTGGGGTTTCAATAGTTGTTTTTAATTTGATTAGTCATTAGTGAGGCAGGAAAGAACTCTCGGGAACCAGCTCACTTTAGTAGGAAAAAAAACCCAAAACAGAATGGTCAAGTCCTGTCCAAATACAATTTTCTTTTCGTGAAAGATCTAAACACAGCCTTAACTTTATAGACTTGCCACTTCATGTTAGGCCAATGTTTTTGAACCGTCGTTGACTCAAACGGTTGGACCGTTCCACTTAGAAATCGTCCAAACAACCAGTTCTGTTTC